GAGAGAGAGAGAGAGAGAGAGAGAGAGAGAGAGAGTATCCTTGACTAAATTACCCTAGGTAAACCTCCCCCCTTCCCCCCGAACCTGCCTCCTTCCCTCACATCCCATGCCAAGCGCCAATTGGCTGAAATGATTACTGAAGTGGTGATATAAGAATGCAAAAGGGCAAAAAAATACTCAAACAGCGAAGAAACACTGAATTTGAGCACACCAGTAGAATACACTCAAGCCTGCTATTATATTGATGGAGCAATCGTTATGAATCTGGCCAGGAAGTTCAGAAAAACTTCAGTATTGAAGCTCGGCTGCTGAAATTCAATCAGCCTTGCAGTTTCGTGGATACGTCTTTCGCTTGCAAGTCCCGTGCATACTTCGCAGCTGAATCTGACCAAACTTACAGATCAAATGCATCGATTCTGAAAGCGCAAGGCTGAGCTTGCCATGAGTGCCCAGAACAAGCACCACGTGTTGCTTGCAAAAAGAAAGACACGGCTGGATGTATATGACTGCAAGTTCGGACTAATGGTTACCCCCGTTTGGACACCCCCCCTATTTTCAGGTCCTGCCCAGCGGGACCCAAAACTGAATTTAGGGTTTGGGCCCGTTGGGGTTCAATTTTATTGTGTTTTTGATTTTTTTTTTTTTTTTTTTGCCTGTTTTTGTTTTGGGTCAAGGTTTATGTGAGGCAAATTTGCATTCATAAAGCGCTAAATAGTAAATTCAGTTTTGGGCTAGGCTACCAGAGTGGCCCGGGACCACTTGCCCGGCCGGGCAGAAAACAAAAGAAATATTAAAAAAAAAAAGATTAAAAATAAAAAATATTTTCAATTTTTATTTTTTATTTAAAATTTGGTAAAGAATTTCGATGTGACCCTGAGGCAAAGGTTGTTATTTTTCTGCATAACATAATTCTTTTTCAGATTTTTTGGATTGGCTTTTTTAGTTTTTTTTCTTTTCTCTTTTCTTTTCTTTTTTATTGCTGGGACCTTATTTGGTCCTTGCACGGCCAAGCCGCCCGGGAAAAACAAGGCAACCCAGGCGGCCCGGCTGGTAGCATAGGTTTTTGGGCCCCGTTGAGCAGGACCTGGAAATAGGGGGTCCCGTTAACCACTAAAAGGCACAATAAAATTGACCCCCAACGGGCCGCAAATCCTAAATTCAGCTTTGGCACACATAAACAGTCCAACTGAATTTAGGGTTTGGGGGTCAATTTCATTGTGTTTTGTTTTTGGTTTTTTTTGGCCCGTTTTTTGTCTGCTGGGACTGTTGAACCTTACTCTGTTGACATTTCTGAAATTCCTGGAAATTTCTGAAATTCGTGGAAATTTCTGAAATTTGAAATTTCTGAAATTTGGGTTGGGCAAATTTTGACGGATTTTGGATGTTGCCTTTTTTTTTTTCCCTTGTTTTCTTTTTTTGCTTGGATCAAGCCTAGGTGTTAGTAGCCGAAGTCAGCATCTGGAGTGTTCCGACAGGGTAGTTTGTCTGTTTTTTTGACGATTGGTGACTTGTCCTTTTTTCTTGGTTTTCATTTTTTGTCTATACTTTGTCTACGTTTGTCCCCTGGCCCGGGACATCAGCCTTTTGAGTGTTGTGGATTCGGCCAATATTCGGTGCTTGAGCCCGGGACCGACAGTTTGGTTTTGTTTTGGCTCAGACGTAGGGCCCGAGATTTGAACCAGTTAAGAGTAGCGGACCCACGGTATAAATAGAACGATTGTGTAAGTATTCGACCTCTTTCTTTCGCTAGTCGGCTCTGCCGCTAGCGTTAGACGGGTACTGCCGACGCGAGGGTGGATCTTGGGTTGATGGAATGTTCAGGCGGTTTTCGAGCTGAATGTTATTCAATCATTTTTTATATGCTTGTGTCGTGTTTCGCGTCTGCGTCGTGTTTTACGCCTCGAGTCTGTCATGAATGCGTCCTGAAAGCGTGTTCTTTGATGTACTATCTGTTCATAATTCCTGTTATGGCGCATGTGAACCTACCCGGGATCTTGGCTGGGAGTGTGTGAGCACGTCTGGTGAGGATACAGTTAAGCCTTTTACTGAAGCAGTGCTACGACCATGAAGGAGTGGCTCGGTGTTTTCAAGGCTATGTTGAAGCAAGGCGGGGATACCGCCCGAGAGATCAAGAAACCTGGACAACGGTCCAGTAATCCAGCTGTGTGAAGTCAAAGCTACGTGCACCTGGACGAAGGGTTGCATCGGCACTTCCCTTGGTGGTGTGCGGATTTGGCGAGCAGGTGAAGAAGGCGAACCATGGACGGTGGTGACCGCCCCCGTGATTGGGGAGATAGACGAGACAGATACAGTGATGACGGAAGACGAGGACGTGAGGAGTTTGACCGTGGCCGGTTACACGAACGCGACGGGCGAGAACGGCGCAATGACTCCGCTGAACCTACACGAAGACTCCCGCCGGTATGCTTCGGGTGTAAGGTACCTGGACACTACCGTAGCGACTGCTGGAGATTCTGGGCCGACACGGCATCAAGGAAGCAGGCCGAGCGCGATGGATATGCATGTCCGCCGGAGTTCGATAGGCGTGGCCGCTCCATATCACCAAAACGAAGCTACGGAGCACCGTTACACAGATCACCGTCGGCAGACTCGAAGACCGTGTCGAAACTGGAAGAGCTCGGGGAGCGTGTGGCCACCTTGAAGGAATTTGTCGAGTTGGAAAAGGTACGCCGCGAAGAAAAAGAGAAGAAAAGACTGGCAAGGGAAGAAGCTAGGAAGAAAGAGTTAGAAGCTGTACAGCGAGAGGCGGAGGAATGCGTAGCTGAGGAAGCCCGCTGCCTGAGGAAGCTGGAGAAACAGCGACGCCGCGAGGAAGAGCAACTGGCCATGACCAAGGCCGTGGAGATGCAGTTAGCAGTGAGGCTAAGCAAGATACAGGAAGAGATCAAGAGCGAAGTGCGGAAGGTAGTGGAAAAAGGAAAGGCGAAGGAGGAACAGCCTCCTCTTCTGGAACGGCAAGTGAACCTAGTGAGGTGGAAGTGATAACCGTTGGCACGGAGAATCTCGCTATAACCGAGAAACGGAAGAGGGGAGAGGACACCCCGGTGGGAAAAAGCCCACCGGACACTACGCCAGCAGAAAAACAGAATCAACGGGAGGCATGCGGCAACTCCGTTTCTCCTAGCGGTTGCAACGGACTCGGATGCGCGTTATCCGGAAGAATGCGTGTCCCCCACCGGCGAAAGCTGTATCAGTCATCAAGCCACCTATGAGGGATGTCGCAATGGAGCGACTGATGTATCTGGACCAAACAAGGAGGGAACTGGCCACCGCCGACTGCGACCTGCTGCGAGAATTCTGCCGAGAGGAAGGCGTTACTTACACAACTAAAGTCCAAGTCATTTTCGACTTAGCTGATGCAAGAGCATGGGTCAGATTCGGACCTGGAACTCAGTCCGGGACCGATCCGCGGGACCTCGAAGGAGACGAGGAAGAAAAATCGAGCCATGAGAGCTCGGATAACGATTAGGGACACTGACCGGGTTTGACTGACAAACAGTGGCTGTCTATTAGTGATCTGCTGATAGCCTACCGTCGCGAACATGGTTGCTGTAATCCGGATGTCGAATGCATGTTTAGACTCCTTGTAGTGTACCTTGCCCTACGTGTCTGTGTAGATGGCTTCGCAAGTGTATCGACTCTTGGCTCGACTTATTCTCCCGTTTTGGATTGGATTTTCTGACGCGCCATAACTGTGTGTATGTCATTTCATCTCCGAAATGCAAATCACAGTATATTGGCCAAACGTCTAGAGAACCTGATATCAGATGGAAGGAACATGTATCCGTGTGGAAGAGGAAAGGTAAGTCAACACATCTCTACCGTTGGCTATGGAGACTTGGACTAGAATCGTATACACTCATCCCGATCGAAATTACGAGTGAAGACGACCTTCTTACGACTGAAACGCTCTATATCAAAAGATGGGGGCCTTTCCTAAATACCGCGGGTTGCGAGACAAGGTCAAAGAAGAAAAACAGGAGGAGAGGGAAGAAGGAGAGAGAGCGAAGGGAGGGGACACCTAGGATAGCCGAACCACGAAGTATACGCTCTATAAAGATTAGATCCCGGAACGAGGAGGAAGGGACGATTCGGTTGTTTGAGTTTTTGAAGCAACAGGAGGCGGAGGGTCATCGGGAGTTTAGTCTGTTTTTCGGGGGAGGCAACTGTTGGAGCGATCGTTGGCGTACGCTGCGGAAAGCCTTTGGATTATCATCTGTTCTGGTCAATGGGATACCTGGCCGCTTTAAAGATTTCAAAAGGGATGTGTTGTGCAGGTGACTTAGACGCTGGAAACCAAGAAGTGGAACCAATAAACCTTCTTGATTTCCTTGCTTAAAAATCCGAAGCGTTACAAATCCTTAAAGAGATGGGATTTGAACTCCCTTTCGGGTTTACTCTCGTCGGTCAAAGACTTTGAGCGAAAGTTCACACGCACGATTGATTTCGCGCTGTATTCGCGACAACTTCGGATTTAATTTGTCAGCAAGCTTGGTTGTCCGTGTTTTGTACGATGATAGAATTAGACTCGTGGAAGTTAGAAAACTGGTAAACGACAAGTTGGGGCGGGCTATGCCTTCCTCCTTGCGTCAAGAAACGAGCACGATCCAAGATCCGAATAATTTGGACTAAGAATCCAAGTATTGCGGATTTGTTGCACAATCAGCGTAGATATGCTCGCGCTGAAGTGTCGGCCTGCATATGCGCAGGTCTTCCTTACCCACGGGTAAGAGGTCACGTGCAGTTTCGTTTGCAAGAGTTGGATGGCGTGCCAGAGTTGTTGGGCAATGCAAAGAACTTCCCCAAACCAGCACGGGGAGATCGTTTACTCAGTCTGAGGAAGGAAGTGGAAGTCGCGTTTGACAGCTGCCCAAATATTAAGGGACAGAGGGTGACCTGTTCGATGGCCGAGTTGGCCGTTTGTGTGCAGGATAGGAGTGAGGTGAATGGGTGCTTGGGACAGGACGTAGTTCGAGAATGGGGTAAGGCTTTGCAGGGCTTGGTGCTTACACCTCTGGACCGAAATCCAGGTGTAACAATGGTGATGTGCCCGCATTTGTACTTTGAAGGAATGATGGGATTGTTTATCAGAAGTGGGGGTTACTCTATTGTTACTGACGATGCGAGTAAGGTCCTCCTGGATATGAAGGATGATCTAAGGGATGCGAACCTTACTGACTTCGCCAGATGGAACAAGAAAGGGTCGATTGGGCAGGCGTATGTGATACCTAAGCAAAAGGACCCAAACCGGTTTCGGCCGATATGCCCTTCCTTCTCCGAGCCAACCGCAAAAACCAGCAAGGCAGTAGCAAAGGCACTTAACCATATGCTGTACACCATCCCCACTGACTGGCATTTCAATCTGAAAGATGTGTCACAGTTGGCCAAGAAGGTGGAGTGGTGTAAGCATCGGATGAGTAGGATTGCTCCTGAGGTGGTGGAATCCCGATCCTATGATAGAAAGGATATGTTTAGCTTGTTACCCCATGTGGCTGTTGGATTACCATGCTGAGAAGGGAAGGCATTTTGTACGGATTAACACACGCGAGAGAGGCGCATCTTTCGGTCGGGCCACGGGCTATGACCACTGGAGGAAGTTGGAATTGGATGAGATATATCGGTTCGTTAAGTTTGAGTTAGCACACACCTACACGTTTGCACTGTCGATTCTGATGAAACAAGAGGTGGGCATCCCTATGGGGAAAAGCACTAGCCCACCTCTTGCTTGCATCATGTGCACGAAGGCGGAATTTGACTTTCTCCAAAGCTTGGTCTACGGGATCCGACTGATGGACGACGTGGGTGTAACAGTGGGAGGAAGGGAGGACGATGACGCGGAGCGGAAAGCTATCTTTGCTGCATTTGAGAATGCCTACCCAAGGAATCTAACTTTGAAACGAACGGATGAGGGCTGCAATGTGTGGGAATTTCTAGGATGTGAAGTCAGAGTGAACTGTGAGTACCCCTTCATCAAATGTGTACAGTTGTCAAAGAATGAGGCTACCATCTGGAACACAGAGATCTTGGAAATTCTGAGCGGACAGTCTTTTAACTCATGGGGAAGTAAGGCGCAGAAAAGCGCAGTGATATGCAGTTATCTGCATCGAATCGATAGGAACACTACTGTCCGCTCGGAAATCCCACGCAGAGTAGTCACGCTTAAGAAAGAGCTGCGACTTAAGGATTTCCCTGGGAAATTCTTTGATCGGATACTGAGAAGCTTCACACATGGACGCAAAGAGCCTTGGAAATGGACCTGCGCCCTGGCTGTATTGGGGCCTCATCATGCTAGTCGAGTAGGGTATTCAATTAGGGCGAACCTCGGTGACTAGTTACATGGTTGGAGCTGAAGTGTTAGTAGCCGAAGTCAGCATCTGGAGTGTTCCGACAGGGTAGTTTGTCAGGTCTTTTGACGATTGGTGACTTGTCCTTTTTTCTTGGTTTTTTATTTTTTGTCTATACTTTGTCTACGTTTGTCCCCTGGCCCGGGACGTCAGCCTTTTGAGTGTTGTGGATTCGGCCAATATTCGGTCCTTGAGCCCGGGACCGACGGTTTGGTTTTATTTTGGCTCAGACGTAGGGCCCGAGATTTGAACCAGTTTGAGTAGCGGACCCACGGTATAAATAGAATGATTGTGTAAGTATTCAACCTCTTTCTTTCGCTAGTCGGCGCTGCCACTAGCGTTAGACGGGTACTGCGGACGCGAGGGTGGATCTTGGGTTGATGGAATGTTCAGGCGGTTTTCGAGCTGAATGTTATTCAATCATTTTCGATATGCTTGTGTCATATTTCGCGTCTCCGTCGTGTTTTACGCCTCGAGTCTGTCATGAATGCGTCCTGAAAGCGTGTTCTTTGATGTACTATCTCTTCATAATTCTTTTTTTGCTATTAGTTAGTATGGTGTGTCAACTCAAAGGGTGTGCATTCTCTCACGTGCTGCTTGTTTGGGGGACTCATGGCAAGCTCAGCCTTGCCACGTGGTTGGATGAACATGGCTGCAATTACGGATGAATTCCGTCAACACCAAATCTCCCTTTGTGACTCACGTTAA